TTCTGTCGCTGCTGCTTCTAAGTTATTGGCTAATATGGTATACCCATATAAAAGAATGGGAATCTCAATGGTATTTAATAATTCTAGATTTATTAATTTTTAACTTTGTAATAGTGTTTATAATTATTTAAGATTTCAAGGATGGATAACTTATTTAATGATTACTGGTTGGGATAAAACTGCATGTATGTTCACATTTAATATATAATTTCAAAATTCTAAATTTCTTAGTCATTCAAAATTTTATAGGGTCCAAATTTGTTTTATGTTGATTCTGATGGTAGTCGTTTCAAAAATGATGTATTTTCTGTTGGATCTGGTTCAACATTTGCATTTGGTGTACTGGATAGTGGACTAGATTATGAATTGTCTACAAATGATGCTATTGAACTAAGTAGACGTTCAATTATCATGCTACTTATAGAGATGCTGCTTCTGGTGGTCTTGTTAGAAGTACATATATGATTCAAATTGATTTATTTTTTTAATGTTATGTCAAAATTTTTTTTATTAGTAAAATATTTAAAATTATATTGTCTAATTATAATAATTATGCAATTTAACTTCGTTCGCTAATTTATTAGTAAATGTAAATATTTACGAAATTAAAATATTTATTAATTTTATATATATATATATATTACTTTGACAAGACTTTATTTCAAAATATATAATATAACATACATGTACAATTTATATTTATATTTTATTTTGCTACCAAATTTGATTTACAACGTTCCTGCAATGCGGCCAAAACTGGAATGAATATTAAAAAACATACGTTCCTCGAATTTCTAAAAAAAACTATTGAAACTAAAACGGTATTAATAGGGATTTAATTAAAAGAAATTTATAAAAAATTAAAGACAGTAGTAAATATTAAAAAAGAAATAACATTAATTTTAAAAAAAAATTACAAATTCAAAAAAAATTAAAAAATTAAAGACTTAAAAAGATAACTGCAATATAATTACACGCACATTGTTCAATTGCTAGGGAATCCGTTTTAAACTGTAAATTAGAAAGGTGATAAACTGACTATATAGCCAACCTAACTATCAGGAAGAATTGGCTAATCAATTATTTCACTTAATTCACCACCGATTTCGAACTCATCCTAACATTTATAAACCTATCATCATGCCAGAAATGCATAACGTTTAGCCCTTTTTCCTGTAGCTCTCTACAAGGCCAATAAGGTTTCTTGGTTACATCATCTTCACGCGAAAAGTGTACGATCCAAACTTCCAAAGGGCAAAGTTTAGCAGCATACTTGTATATACTATTAAAATAGCCCTTTAATTAGGTATCGAAGGTGTAGCCAAAAGCTTGAGTATGGCTATAGGTCCCACCGGAATTGGCTTCAACAATTTTTAATGGGTTGTTTGTGACTACACCGCAGAAGTTGTGTTGAAGGGCACTGTCTGTTTCAAATGCCACTGGCCAGTTATCTTAAAGCCATGTACTTTCGCAAGCCAATTATGTAAGGTTTGGTACATTTCTGCATCATATGTACTTTCTCTAGGAACTTTTACATTTTGCTCAGAATCTATATTTATTCGATTTGAGCTTTTATAAAAACGTTTTGACCTAGAGCAATAGTTTTCTGATCAAATGTACAAACAGCAAATTTTAATATCTCTAAGATATCTACCAATCCATCATTAGCTCGAAGAGGTATTTATACGTTAAGATAGTATACAGGCAAAAAGGGAGTTTTATTAAGGAATTTTTTTTTTTGTTTTGAATTTTTCTTTTCCAAATAAATAAATAATTAATCTAACTATAACCAGTGGTGATCATCACCAGGTGCCTATATCTCAAAAACATACTAAGTAAACGGGATCGGGTTCTCTAAGTAAAAATGTTCAGGACCCCCAAAAACCTCAC